ATCACAGCAGCCTTTTGAATTGTACAGAAAGAAAGGGACAGATATATACAGAAGGCTTAGCTGAAAACAAATGACGCAAACATTGAAACATTTTTATAGTGAATAATGAAGTACATGCGTATTTGTTCAGTATAGTTCTTGTAAATTGTACATTACTGTGGACATGCCCTCTTCACTATTAAAATCCTGGAATGTTTGTCTCTATAGATTACAGAAAGAAACTAAATACTAATTGACCTATGCCATCATTCGTTATGTATTGCAAATCAATCTTAGAAAAAGAGAAAATGGTCCCTCTAGTACTGTGATATTATGTTTTAGGCACAAGTGAAAATGCATCCTTAATAATCTTCCCTCAGTTTTCTGCTCCATACAGTTTCCCTTATGTCAACAATGTACTTCGCACACAAAACCACTGATGCAATATATGAACTGCATATAATTCAGAATGCAAAAAAGCAACTTATAAAGTTTTTATTTCCAGTGGCACTTAGTAATTCAATGTGTGTTTTGGAACTGGCAAATACTTTAAAGGTTCTTAGCTCAACAACATAATTGTGGAAAATAAACAGAAAACAACCCAATTGGTGATTATTGGGATGTATGCAGTTATATAATTAATGACAAGTACTGTACACTATTTTTTTACAACTGACCTTATGCATTACAACAAAGTTTCTGAACAGTACTTATACAAGCCTCACAGCACTACGTGACTGTTTGTTTTTTTCAGTTAGGTGTTTGTTTTGCAATTTTAAATGCTGTCACTTATACAGTAAAATACAGTGAAGTTTATTCCAGAGCCACAGCAGCTCCTTGAACCAGAGTTTATCCTTGTATCCTTGTGTTTGTCCATCACAACTGATGGTCCTCATTTATAAAGCTGGACCGTACTGCTGGGCTAAAGTTCCTCACTCAGTTTCTGCAGCAGGGACTTGAACCCAAGACTCACAACGATCAATTTTACGTCTGAAGACATATCTACTAAACTGCAACCCCATGCAGCAATACGTGACCTTTACTGAATGGAGTCTTAAAGGCTGCCATTAAAAAAACAAATTATGACACAGAGCTTGGATAATAAGACACATTTATCATTTTTGTGGCATACTGTATATTTTTATTTTTTCCTTTCACACCCAAGACACCATACCTTTTTTCCTAAGGTACGTTAAAAGCATCTCTTCAGGGTCCACATTCTTCTCTGTAATCTGAAAAATCAAATTAATTAAATATTTAAAGGCCTGCTTAATAATTTCAATATGAATGTTCCATAATCTTAACTTTCCTGATGTAGATTAAGTTATTTTGAAACGTAAACGCACCGTAAGATATTTTATACAACTTCCTGCTGTGAAATCATCGTCATGGCGATGCTTTATCGTCATATTCCTTCTAGCAAATTTCATCCTTCTTTTGTTAAAAAATTCTTTCTCACACGAAAAAATCCTCAGAATATAAACAATAGACAAAGAATCCACTGTTCATGCTTTTATAGACACTGGCTGTTGGAACACATTTTACTCTGTCATCTTAGAAACTTTCCAGAGTGTAAAAGGTTTTGTTGAGAAAATAATTTTATTTCCCAGAGTCTGATTATAGTATCATGTCTTTCCATGTGAAATCAAACAAAACTACAAAGCAGTAAAAGAAAAAGAAAACTTAAAGGGGGAAAGCAGTATTGTGGGTAGCAGTTGGTAATTCATTTCAGAGGAGAGCATGTCTCCACTGCTGATGTGAAAAAATAAATTTGTTAAAAATGACTATTTGACTTGCTTTTCCAAAAACCTGTCTCTTTGAGAAACAGCTCTCTTTGCTGAGTCATTCATATTACTGATGTGATCTTAAAGGAGAGTTTCTTTTTTAATTAACTAAATACTATTTGTGGGCTTTGAAAATCCGTCAATGCACATTTTTATGAGTCTTACTAATTTTACCAGTACCATTTCAGGGCCTGGTTTTGGAATAATAAGAGGATACATTTTCTGCTTAATGTTCAATTAATTTGAAAATGGTTCTAAGTTGACAGCATACCTTTCACAACAATACAACCCTGCCCTATTGCAGATTCTACTACAAAAAGGAATACATTAAAATAGCTAAAAAATACAATATCAAAATAAAATTATATGGCTGCAAATGGCACTGAGAGATTCTCTGAGATTTTGTCTGTGAACTAGAAAAATAAAAGGTCAGAGCCATTTTAGTTTTATCCCAAGGGAGTTTGATCAATGATAAATTGATTATTGATAGACTTTAGAAAAAGAAAAATAGATTATTGATAGACTTTAGAAAAAGAAAAATAAGTGATTGTGAAATGAATCCATTTTTTAAAAGATTTCAATTCCTGTTTAGAAGGACGCAGTGACCAGCTCAGTGTTATCATAGGCCTTGTGGTCTGTAATACAGCAACACATCAAAGTCACTTTTATAACCTAGAAATCCCTGGTGAGCTCAGATTGTGGAGTTTTGGATCCAGCTGACTGTCATCTGATACAATGGCATGAGAGATGTGGATTAAGATTAATTTGTGATGGAATTTGTGGTTGCTGGAGTAAAAGCGTGAGCTGAATGTACTGAATGTTTCCATTCACGCAAGAAAAATTGGATTATGATATGGTGTGAGTCTAATGACTCTGAAAAAAAGATGCTAGCTGTGTAAAACAATCCAATCTCTAATCGAACCCAGAACCAGAACCCAGTGCAAGAAAATGTGCAATAATCCGCTTTTTCCATTTTTTTATGTGCTGTACTTTGTTCTACAGTGGAGTTGGCCAATTTCTGTTCTGTTTTGGAACTGCAATAAAAATCAGTTAAAAAACAAACAAACATCAAAATAGATAGCTGGGTCCTGCGGAACACCCTTAAGTCCTGTATTTAAAGGGGCTTCTCGCACAACCTTGAACAATCCCAGTATTTGGTTCAAAACTAATTGAATACAACCATTTCTAACTGCATACTCAGTGGGAATAGGCTGAGCAGGGCAGACCGGACTTCCCTTTCCCCAGAAATCTTCTGTAACCCCTCCTGGCGGACTCACGGGCACCTCCAGGGCAACCGAGAGACATAATCCCCCCATTGTGTCCCAGGTCTGGTCCTAGCAACTCTCCCCAGTGGACTGTGCCTTGCCTGGTACACCTCCAGTGAGAGGCACCTTGGGGCATCGCCACCAGGTGGCTTGACCTGCCTCAGCTGGCTCTTCTCAATCCAGGGGAACAGCAACTTGATTCCAAGGTCATGATCCAGTAAAATATCAGGTGTCTGATGCTGGTGCTGGAGGACCAGTGTCTCTGCGGGTTTTCGTTCCAGCTTGGCTCTTAAACTAAACTGGCTGGGTGCCGTCTTAACTGAACTGATTTATCAGCTTCTCCCAGGTCTGCGGGTGCTGCTGCTGCTTCAGAGAGATCGGCAGATACACAAGATCCCCCAGAACAAGGACTGGACATCCATACAGTAAACTTTCCCCAGTTACAATACCAAACCCTTCGTTGTGTGATGTAAAACAGCTTGCCAAAAACAAACTTCACTAAGAGGCCATTCCACAGAATATAGATTTTTTTTCAGGTTCTGTGATTTCTCTCTTTAAGACAAGTCCTTTCAAAGATATATTTTTATTGTGGTGAATCCAACATCCATCAGAAATCTAGATTTGATCTTAGTGTATTGCACATCTCATACTCTTTCTGGATGTGTATTCAACATTATGCCATCTGTCTATTTTTCCATTTCTGTTATTCAGTTATATAAAATTCAGTTTAATAAATCACAATCTACATTTTGTCTATGGTTCTTTAGATATTCACTACAGTCTAGTCAGACACTTATTAGTTATACAGTCTATCTCTAGTCAACTAATGAAATGTAAAAAAAAGACTCAAAATTGTCACTACATGGAGATACTGCTGCATCTATAAGCACCCAATCATATTATGGTAAATAGAGCAACTTTGAAACCTGCATATGACTATGGAGATTAATTCTGTCAATTTATAAGAATGTTCTTAAAAATGCTATTGTTGATTGAAAACATATTCAAACATAGATATTAAAAAAGTATACTAAAAATTCAAGTAAATACAACAACAGAAATACCTTACCTTTTTCCCATTGATATAAAACATTAATTCGGGACTTTGTGAATAAGACATTCTGAAACAGATCAATGTGTCCAAGTTCCATCCAGATTAGAGGTCTTCTGTTGGAAGTCTACTTAGGTTCAGCAACAGATCTTGAAATAAGACATTGTCACATGATTAGATACTACATCACATTGTGAAAATCAGTTTACCACCATAAAAAAGAACATAGCTGTCACAGTGACTTGATGTCACACATGGTTCATTTCTGACATTACACGGAACTCAAATACTTTGAAATGGCTTTTGAAGGAATTTTCCTTTCATCAGTGAAATATGAAATAAATGTTTTTGAGAATAATTTCTCAAAATGTTGAGTATATTTATCTTGTATTGTTAAAGGTATAGACTATGAATGTGTTCCCTGCTGGCAAAATGTGATTAGAAATTGGCAAGTGAAATTTAGGTTAGCCCAGTTGACATATAACTCATTCATGAAAATACATCATAAGAGTTCAAAATCAGGGGGCCTGGTGGCACGGTAGTTAGGACTGCTGTTTGCAGTGCTGGGGCCCCAGGTTCAATTCCAGATCTGGGGAGCTGTCTGTGTGGAGTTTGTATGTCCTTTCTGTGTTTGTGTGGGTTTCCTCTGGATGCTCTGTCTGCCTTCCACAGTCTGAGAACCTACTGGCAGGTTAATTGGCTGTGTCTGTGTGTGTGTGGTCTGTAATAGACTGGTATCCCAACCAGGATGTATCCTGCCATGTGAACCTGCATTGAAAGAAGCAGTTAGAAAATAGATTGATGGATCATAAAATTGCAGGAATGTTTTCTTTCGTTTGAAGGTACAGGATATTTTTCTTTGTGTAGCTGTCTATATTCCACAACACTGTTAAAAGTAATCTTGTTTTAAAAATGTCAGTCCATTTGTCAAGGTTCTCAACACACAAAATGAACAAAGTCGTTCATTTTCAATAACCATTTACTCACAATCAAGGGTGGGAGTCTTTGTGAGGGAGAGGTTACTGTATGTACTGGCAAGGGTTGACTTCTGCTCAAGGCTGCTCTCCTGTTTGCCATTGGGGCTAACCAGTGGCACCAGGCTGAAAACAAGAGGGTTGCAAGCAATTAGAAAGCCTCTAGCATGCTGCACCAGACTCGTTCCTACACCCTGTGACAATGTACCACAAACACACAGCCTATCACAGGGCCTGCACACACACATTCACTACTAAACTCAGACAATTGTCAAACAATTGACAATGTAGATGTAATGCCTCGGTTATCACCGTAACAGAGCTACAGTAACTGCTATGGTAATGTACCATCCTACACAAAATGGAAGGGTTCAGTGCATTTTTCCATGCAAAATTTTAAATAAGGTTTTCAAATGCCAAAATCTCAAAAGAGTTCACACTCCTGCTTAATAATAATAATAATAATAATTGCTTATACTTATGTAGCACTTTTCTGGACACTCCACTCAAAGCACTTTACAGGTAATGGGGACTCCCCTCCACCACCACCAATGTGCAGCAACCACCTGGATGATGCGACTGCAGCCATAGTGCACCAGAACGCTCACCGTACATCAGCTATGAGTGGGGAGGAGAGCAGAGTAATGTAGCCAGTTCATAGGGGGGATTATTAGGAGGCCATGATTGGTAAGAGCCAATGGGAAATTTGGCCAGGACACCAGGGTTACACCCCTACTCTTTTCGAGAAACACCCTGGGATTTTTAATGACCACAGAGAGTCAGGACCTCAGTTTTATGTCTCATCCAAAGGACAGCGCCTGTTTACAGTATAGTGTCCCCATCACTATACTGGGGCATTAGGACCCACATGGACTGCAAGGTGAGCACCCCCTGCTGGCCCCACTAACACCTCTTCCAGCAGCAACCTTAGTTTTTCACAGGAGGCCTCCCATCCAGGTACTGACCAGGCTCACACCTGCTGAGCTTCAGTGGATTGCCAGTTGTGAGTTGCAGGGTGATATGGCTGCTGGCTAATACTATTGCAAGAGAACTTGTAGGGAGCAAAATTAAAATTTAACTCTTTGGTAAACTCTTTGTTCCTTTTTAGTTGAATTTGTCTTGTTCGTATTTGGAAGAGAGGACAGAGGTCCAAGCCAGAATGAGCAAAACGTTCTTTAAATTGGCGCAGACCCTTAATCAGCACAGATTAATACTATACAACAAATGATAAAATAGTTTGTGCCTGCTTGTCTCCTCCAAGGTCCATAGTTAATACTCTCTGGCTATAGTTTTGTCTTCCACTGTTTCCCTTGGTTTCTCTTTCTGCACAGGGTGTGGGTCTGAGAAGAAACGAAATGAAGAAACGAAAAGAGAAGAAACGAAAAACAATGTTTTGGCTGTGGAGCCATCTTCGGGTGTGTTCACACACGAAGAAGGCTCCACATCGAAACGTTGTGTTTCGTTTCTTCTCTTTTTAGCATGGAATAAACCTTTACTTGTAAAGCCCTATAGCTTTACACACCACACTAACCCACCTGGATAAAAGGAACACCTATACAAGAATGGTGTACATTGACTTCAGCATTTAACACCATCATACCCATAAAACTTGCTACCAAACTCTGGGCTCTGGGTCTAGATACCACCCTCTGTAGCTGGATCCTAGACTTCCTCAACAGCAGACCTCAGACTGTCAGGATTAGCAACCTCACCTCCAACATGCTCACCCTTAACACTGGTGCCCCTCAAGGCTGTGTGCTCAGTCCACTGCTTTACTCCCTGTTTACCCACGATTGTACTGCCTAGTTCAGCACAAACACAGCCTATGCATGCTGTCGCAGCTACCTACAGTAGTTGAACTAAGTTATCATTATTATTTATTAATTAAACACACTAATTATTTTCAACATACATTTCTTGTTCTCATGTTTAACAATTAACACATAACTGTACATTTGTGCACATATACAGTATACTGTAGGCTATATATACTGTATAGCATTGTGTTATACAGTATACTAATACCTTGCTTTGGTTTACTAGTGTAAATCTTATGTTATGTGTTACATTTTTCTGTTCTATATAAGAAGTAATCTCATTGTTAGAACATTTACAAAATCTGAAGCTGTGTAACTGTCGTCTTTCTTTTAAAAAAAGACTCTTGCCAAGCAGGACGATTTGCATTCACTAAACCCAAACCTAAGATACTTAGTGAGTTTTGCAATGATAATTATGTGGTGAAGCTTCCCTCGCGGGAGTAGAAAGACGTTTTTTTATTAACCCTTCATTCACGATTTTCATACAAATTACAACTGGTAAAATCCTCCCATTTATAATTTAAAAGGCCTTTCTACTGTTGTGGTAGTCCTACTGTATAGTGAATAAACCATTTTACTCAATACAAATGCTGTGTATTACTAGTCAAATCACCACATCAAACCATAACATTATTGCAGCAACACTCAGTAGCTGGACAAAGGCAACAAAAATTGTTTTTTTTTACGACTAGCTGTTGGGGATATCATGAGACCTAAACACATTATACCGTATTACTGTGTGATGCTTTAAAGACATTTATTTGAGGATATACCAGGGATTTCTTTCTTAAACAGACTTATCTAAACATTTATTACTGGAGGCCAAACATACTCATACTCATGAACATGATACATCATCATTATCTGCATTGTTGCTTAGGATTTGTTCCAGCAGTGCACATTCTTTGAGTTTGGAAATAACCTAGTATTAAAAACGAATTCCATATCACATCGTTTCTTTGGTTATGATATTAGTTTTCCAGTGGCTGGATGAAATAAGTTACAGGTCACAATAATATTCACAGGTCACAGTCTTTAAGGATGAAAAAAGGTTAAAGATCCGTAAAACCTGCAATGAACAATTAAAAAATAAACAAAATATTGATTGCATAAGTAATTCACGCCCTTAATCAATAGTTGGTGGAAGCAACGATAACAGTGGAGGATATTTTTGGTCTCTACCAAGTATGCAAACCAGTTCTTAAGTCACGTTGCTTGGTGATGTTTAATTATGCCACAGATTTTCTATAAGATTCAAGTCAGGACTTTGATTCACTCAAGGAAAAAAACTTTCTTCTGGTTAAGCCACACCAATGTAGCTCTGGCTTCCTGCTTTGGGTCGTTGTCTTTCTGAAAAGTGAAGCTTGCTCCAGTTGTACTGTAGGTCTTCAGGAGACTGGAACACATTTTCCTGATTACTGGAAAGCACGATTAGCCCAAACTTCTGCTCCCTCCATTTTCCCCTCATTCTTCACAATGTTCTAGGTCTTTCTGAGGAGAAGCTTCCCCATAGCATGATGCTGCCACAGCTGTGCTTGACTGTACTAATGGCCTGCATTGGTTCTGCACCAAACGCAAGACTATGCCTTTAGACCAAAAGTTCAAGTTTTGTCTCATCTGACCCCATAATCTTTTGCCAGATATTTTGCACTATCACTTGAATGCTTTGTTGAAACCTCCATGTGACACGCGAAACGAGATTTGTTCGGCAATGGCTTCCTTCAGCTTTGAGGAACAACCAAGAATATTGTTGACCAGAGCACATCTTTGCCATCTCTGAACTCTGTCGCTGTTTCAGAGCTGCCAGTGGCCACAGGGAGGCAGTGGCATCCTGACCAGTTTATCCTAACTATTACTGCACACAGAGAGAGGCCATTCAACTAACTGTGTGACTCGCCAAGGTCATTTTTATTTGAGTTTAGGTTCGAATTTGAATTTAGATTTGTCATACTAAAGGGAGTACATACTCATGCATTCAACATATGTTTTTGCTGAACTTCTTTCATCCATAAATGTGTTCAGTTTTCAAGTTTTGACTAGAAATATTCACATTAAACTATGTTTACGTCATGTGGGACATCACTGGAAGGGGAGTATTTTTGCAAGACAATGTGGATACTGTAGCGATTTGCACCAATCAGCACTGGACTGTCCCCATGATTTCTACTCTTTTACCCCAGGTTCATATTTTTCCACCTTTTCCCTCTATAAAGCCAGGGTGTTCTCTTTTCCCGCCTCTGGGTCCAGAAGATTTCTGCTCTCTCTGACTTCCCAGCCTTACCTGCTCAATGAATAGTGTGCCCGTCTCCAAAGAACAGGGCAATAAAACTGTCCTGTCAGTGAGCCTATGACAATAATAATTGCTTACACTTATACAGTGCTTTTCTGGACACTCCACTTAAAGTGCTTTACAGATAATGGGGACTCCCCTCTACCACCACCAATGTGCTGCCCCACCTGCAATGACAGCCACAGTGCACCAGTATTCTCACCACATCACCAACAGAGTGATGAAGCCAATTATTAGGAGCTCATGATTGGTAAAGGCCAGGAGGAAAATTGGCCAGGATGCCAAGTTAACACCCCTACTCTTTTCGAGAAACGCCCTGGGATTTTTAATGACCACAGAGAGTCAGGAATTACTCATATGATATAGCCAGCAGCCATATCACCCTGCAACTCACAACTGGTAACCCACTGAAGTTAAGCAGGTGTGAGCTTGGTCAATACCTGGATGGGTGACCTTCTGGGGAAAAACTAAGGTTGCTGATAGCTGATGTGTGGTGAGCGTTCTGGCACACTATGGCTACCGTCGAATCATCCAGGTGGATACGGCACATTGGTGGAGGGGATCCCCATTACCTGTAAAGTGCTTTGAGTGGAATGTCCAGAAAAGTGCTATATAAGTGTAAGCAATTATTATTACTCAGTATTACTTCTCATCCAAAAGACAGCATCTTTTTACAGTATAGTGTCCCCATCACTATAATGGGGCACTAGGACTCACACAGATCACAGGATGATTGTCCCCTTCTGGTCACTCCTACACTTAAGTCTCTAAATTGGTTGCTTATAAAGTCACTTATTCAGTGCAAGTTTCTATTACTGACTTTTAAGGTTTAAATAATCTGGCTCCTTCATACATCTTTGACCTCCTCCGTGTTTACATTTCCTCCCATAGGCTACATTCAGCTGAGACCGCTCCTTTGCGCACTGTACCCAGGGTTATATCTCATTCCTTTCCTGTTGCTGCTCCAGTGTTATGGAAAGTCCCTCCTCAGACTCATACCTTTTTACTAGAGACTGTGCCTGATAGCCTACTTACCAACAAGTTTGTTCTTGTTTATTTTTTTCTTCTACTCTTTATTTAATCATGATGTACATTGTCACTGAGTTTGTAATGGCTTTATAAATAAAGGTTGATATTATTATTATTGTTGTTGTTGTTGTTAATCCTGATATCTCACTTGCAGTCTGTTCCTGAAAGCTCATCCTGACATGACAACATTTCAGCAGGACAGCCCACATCCTCATGCTGCTCAAGTAACAC